TGACCAGCTAAATTGTGTGCAGTTTGTTTCAATCCTTAGTGCATTTTATTATTCTCACCCCTGCCCCCGCCCTCCGGTCCCCCCACCTCTAAAGCCTCGCAAGTATCCTCAAAGTGAACTTGTGTTGGGTGGCCAAACGGACTTGTAAGTTTCCTTGCAAGTATACAAAAGCTGCAAAAACTCATTTCAAGGCCATTTAATGTAGACTTACATGTATCCTGTTTTCCATTGGCTAATAGGTTGCTATGACAACAAATGGACGCCACTTAACTTGCATTGACTTGGGTTGGGTGGCCAAAGGGTGAGTAGCTTGCAAATTTGATCTTGACCAAAGTAAGCACAAGTCATCGTAGTTGAGGTATTGGTGCACCCAAGGCCTGGCCCATACAAACAGAGTGGCAAGTAGTCCGAAGTTTTCAACTTGCGTCTTCTTGCAAGTCCGTTTGGGAGGGTTTAAGGAGGAATATGCTGAATGAAATACACTAAAAGNTGCCCCCGCTCTCCGGTCCCCCCACCTCTAAAGCCACGCAAGTATCCTCAAAGTGAACTTGTGTTGGGTGGCCAAACGGACTTGTAAGTTTCCTTGCAAGTATACAAAAGCTGCAAAAACCCATTTCAAGGCCATTTAATGTAGACTTACACGTATCCTGTTTTCCATTGGCTTATAGGTTGCTATGACAACAAATGGACGCCACTTAACTTGCATTGACTTGGGTTGGGTGGCCAAAAGGTGAATAGCTTGCAAATTTGATCTTGACCAAAGTAAGCACAAGTCATCGTAGTTGATGTATTCGTGCACCCAAGGCCTGGCCCATACAAACATAGTGGCAAGTAGTCCGAAGTTTTCTACTTGCGTCTTCTTGCAAGTCCGTTTGGGAGGGCTTAAGGAGGAATATGCTGAATGAAATACACTAAAAACGAGGAGGCACTTGTGAAATGTGTAATATCCATTTTTTGAGCCATATTTTTCCATTTGACTTACACTTCTAGATTACCGAAATGATTCAATTTAGCACCTAGGGCACTAATTTACTCTTTGTAGCTAAAGGGAGGGTGCTTATTGGAAAAGAGGTTCTTATAGGGATGGAGCATTTATTTGTTTGTGAACATATACAGCTAGTACAATAAAACATGTACTTTAAATAATGAAATACACCAGATACTTTAAATTAAACACTGTATTAATAGGGGCTCTGATTATCATGCTCAATTACTTTACATGCACATGTATGTTTAGATAAGAAAGCAGACTTCATAATTTGTGTTGGAACTCAATGAGAAGCACTCATTGGAAATGAGACTCTTATTGGAATTGTGAATTTATTTCCTGATATTAGACAAGTGACCGGTTTCTGATCCAGT